AATATAAATAGACATTAATCAATATTTGTGGCTTCCTTAAGGTTACAAGTGTTCAGAATGCCCACTACCCATACCAATGTATTATTTATATCAGAGTTGCATGATTTTGTATCACTGCTACTATATGCTTTTTACTGAGACACGGCATACTAAGTTTCTCTATGTACTGACCTTTGGTTTTCAATGTTTTCAGGACTCATAGCTGGGGTTTCAGATGATACATTTTTAGGATTTTCTTCTTTTAGTTCTTCAGTCTTATCGGCTTGAGAATTTCTTTTCTGGAAATAGGATGCTGCAGATACCTGTAAAAACAAACATCACAAACACTGCAACAAAATCTAGTATGATTTTTATGCGCTACAAGCAAGTTCTGAAAAATGTGCAGAAACATTTATAATTATTTAGAATTCTCATGCCAACAGATGAAGTCTTGAGTCCTCAGTCGAAAATAAACATGCGCATACAAACAAAACCAAAAGAACCTACACTTCAAATTCCATGTTTTCTAATGAAGTGAAATGGAAAAGGTAAAGAATAGATCTATTTTACTGATGACAAATCTAGGATGAAATAATTCTGAGTGTAGACAAAATCAGAATACAGAACAAGGATTAGGGACATGTACTATACCAGCCATTATAAAACAAGAATATTCATCAGAATCATCTAGGGGATTTTAATAAAAATACAGATAGATACCTGAGTCCCTGGGACCTGGGTACACATATTTAAAAAAAAAAGAAAGTGGTTCTGAAGCAAAAACAGAATAGAACCCACTTCCCTAGCTAGACAATCAATTATAAACAACTAGAAATTCCTTATATCTGAACGGTGAATAAAAGTGAAGACAAACAGATCATATGCTGTTTGTAGCAGATGTAGGTAGTTGAATAGTACCTGTTTAGACTTTGGCTTTGGAATCAGAGGCTTTATAACTGGAGACTTTTCACTATTTGTAGCTCGATTAAGTGCAGTGGACTTCTTAGATGATTTGCTCATATTATCTAAAATATTACTTGAACGTGCTGAATTCACTGACATGGCTGGCTCTTTGGAACTGGCTGATACCTAAAGAGCAAACTAGCGTTAACATTTTATATTTAAAGAAGAGAAAAAAACCAAAGAGATTTATTTTTCCTTTAAATTTCTGTTAAGTGTTTACTACAGTTTCATCTTTAGAACGGAATACATTTGGTATAATCCAAATTAAGATTGATGCATATATTCCCAAATATCACATCTCCAAGAAAGACATGGAGTATCTTTCGAAATCACAGGCACTTAGAAGATAAGTAGAAAATATAACTCTTAGCCCAAGTGTGAATCAGTGCTGCTTTCTACTCTGTTTTTACATGCCTTGAAGTCTTTAATGCCTCCAAGTCTGGGGAGGGTCATCTAGTCATGTGAAAATATTTCTTCATATGGAAATATATTTAAATAATAAAAAATATCACTGGAAAGAGTTTACCTTGAAGGGGTTTGCTCGTCCTTGGCTGCTAGAGGTTATTGCACCTTTTACAAGAAAGAAACCTTGGTTAATAGTGGCAAAAAAAATAGATGACTTCTGCCTTCCCTAATATTAGGCAGAATATTTTAATCTATATTATCCGAAAACAAATGTACTTTGAAACTTTAAAACTATTAACAACTATAGATGACCTCTTTCCTGCTTCTAAGACAAAATAAAGTTATTAAATGGGAATTATCCCAACTTGCAACTATGAAACATACCAATATGTACAGATCTATCTTTTCGTCCTGTTACCATGGAAGAATGGTGCCTCATTTTAGCTAAGGTTAGTAATCCCTTTACTTGTGCTCTAGATCCCACCCGCTCCTGCTTTGTCAAGAAACCTGAGCTATCAATGCCCCCTCCCACATCTCTGACTTTTCCCTATTTACTGCCTCAAGTCTCCCAACTTAAAAAAAAAAAAAAAAAACCCTCTCTACCCCACATTCCTTCCAGCCACCATTTTCTCTCACCTCCCCTTATCCAGTCAAAATTTTCAAGAGCTGTTGACACTATTACCTCACTGCCCATACATTCCTCCGTACAATATAATGCCTTCAGCCCTACTACCCTATAAAATCTCCTCTTGCTATGCCCCACAATAATCTCTGTGGTCACATCTAGTGGATGTCTTTTAGTCATCTTATTTGACCTCTCAACAGCATCCCCCATACCTGACTGTTTCTTTCTTCTTGATACTACTTTCTCCTCCTGTGACTTCTGCAATACAGCATTCTCTGACTTACCTCCATCCTCTCTAGAACCGAGGTCATATTCTCTTTCAGTGGTTGGTTCCCCCTCTTCTACCTGATGCTTATAGTGTTGGAGATTCCCTAGGCCTAAGCTCATTTTTCTTCTTGCTTTACATATTCTCCCAGTGCCTGCTCACCCACGGCCACGGTTTAAACTGCTATACTTATACTAAATGACTTTCGTTTTGTATCTCCAGGCCAGAGTACTTTCCTGAACTCCTGATCCAAATATCTAACTGTCGACGTGACATTTTACTTACCTCATAGCAATTCATCTTCCTATCTAAATCTGCTTTTCCCTAGTGTTCCGTAACTCGGTAAATAAATGGCAACATCATTCACTCAAATACTCAAGCCAGTGTTAAAAAAAATTCTAATTGGGAGGCCATTACAATGGGTGGCCCTGGCACTTTAAATTCCCACATCTACAAACCAAAGCCCAATGTAAACAGTAAACTGAAACTAGAAACTGTACCAATCAGAAACCATCAACTAACCTCTAATTAGTAACTTTCTACTCTAACTAATTAAAATTATTCTGTCTTGCTTCTGAAAATGCTTTATAAATGTTTCTCCTCCTGACCCTCCCAGAAGAGTGCCCCTTGTGGTCTGATGCTGTCCTGATTCATGAATCACTAAATGCTCAAATAAACTCCTCGAAATTTAAAGTTTTTCCTACGTTTTTCTTTTATCACCAGAAACTATGTCATTCTTCACACCCTGAACTCTTAGACTCTTGCCATCATCTTTAGAAACACCCCTTCAATTCTACCCATTCTTTCTACCACCACCATCACCACCCTAGCTCAAGGACTGCTTCAGTGGTCTCCTTATATCTGTTCCTCCTCCACACAGCATCCCATGCTATGCCTTTGCTTAAAACCTATAAAGCCTCTAAGGACCTTAGAATAAAGATCAAAATCCTTAATATGGCCTACACAAATCTATACGACTTAGTTCCTGCCACTGCTCTAAAACCCTTCAGCACCACTTCTCTCTGCTCTCTGTGCTCTTCATATCACCCCTTTACGGTCTTCAAACATACTGCTCCTTAAGTCCAAATGCTCTTCCTCTGCTCCTGCTCCCGTCTGCCTTTGCCTAGCTGACTCTTACTCATCCTTCAGGTTTTTGCTTTAAACACTCTGTGAGGCCTTCTTGGGGTCACTACCCATCCTCCACCACTGACTAAATTATAGCTACCTGCTATATGCTCTTTTGATACTCTACGCGTTTTTAAAGTTAATTTTTAAAAATCAAGGCAACATATATACATAGTTTAAAAAGCCAAATGGTACTGTAAGATTTATGTTAAAAAAAAAAATCAGCAGTCCTCTACTCCAATCTTTTCTATCTCCCAAGCCCACTCACCAAAGGCAACTATTTTCAACTCCTTTTAACTGTTTCTCCAGCATTCTGCATGTTTCCTTAGTGATACCCAGATCTGTCTTCCTAGTAGGGCTGAAAGGGCACTAAAGCAGGGATCAACCATGCACATCTGCTTAACTTCTGTATCTAGTAAAATGCCTGACACACAACAGGCATTTAAAAGCCATTTATTAAATGACCAGTTTCACAAACATTTTTTTTTTTTTTTTTGAGACAGAGTCTCTGTTGCCCTGGCTAGGGTAAGTGCCATGGCGTCAGCCTAGCTCACAGCAACCTCAAACTCCTGGGCTCAAGCGATCCTACTGCCTTAGCCTCCCGAGTAGCTGGGACTACAGGCATGCGCCACCATGCCCGGCTAATTTTTTCTATATATTTTTAGTTGTCCAGTTAATTTCTTTCTATTTTTAGTAGAGATGGGGTCTCGCTCTTGCTCAGGCTGGTCTCGAACTCCTGAGCTCAAACAATCTGCCCGCCTCGGCCTCCCAGAGTGCTAGGATTACAGGCGTGAGCCACCGCGCCCGGCCCACAAACATCTTTCATAAAAAAAAAAAAAACAAAAAAAAACCAGATATCAGCCCTAAGGGGTAAGGTGTATTTCGGTAGATGTATCACTTTACAGGCTACTTGTAAAATTTCCTTGATACTACAAATTTATAAATATCTCACCTGACTTAGCTGGAACGTCAGAGGAATTTGCATTTTTGGAAAATGAGTTCTGTCCTATAGATTAATTAAGATAAAACAATATCATGTAAATGGGAAAAATAAAGTCATCCTTGACATTCAACAATCAGACCGTAAAGTTGTCTTGAAAAAAGTATGAGTATTCGATTTCCCTCAGCCAAGTAAAATGGGAAAAACAACATCCATGAAATTTCTCAGCATGTAGTGCCTTGAAAACATATCTCACCAGGCTTATGTATTTCTGGTTTTTCTTCTCCATCATCAGCTTCTCCACTGTCCTCGGCATCTTCTTCAACCTGATTTCTGAGCCTTGGCTGGCTCCACTCTGTGGAAGTATTACTGTAACTAAAAGACAATAATATTATTCGATAAAGAGCTATGCTCTATCAGGGTAAACTAATGGTTAAAAAAAAAAAGCTACACAAAGACCAACTTAACATTCAGGATGGTAAAGGAAAAGTCAATCAACTGAATATTTGTTACCCAGCATTCAGCTTTTTTCTGAAATCTTCTTCTTCTTCTTCCGATTCCACGTGGGTTGCTGTCAATTCAGCTGCCTTCTCTACAGCCAGTTCACTAAGTCTTTGGGCCAATATTAATTTCCGAGAGCGAGAAGCATATTTAATGGCTAAACTCAAAGCATTTTGAGTCATCAGATCAGCAAGTTCCACACAACGAAATTCTCGTTCCAGTTTACAAGAAAGCTAACCCAAAAAGGGGGGAAAAAAATTAAATTACATTAAGTAAAACTTGAAAAATTTTTTGGTTTTTTACTGAGCTCCTTAAAGATAGAATAAGTAAAACTTTTTAAAAACACTGATACTAATAAAACTGAGAAAAAAATTTTCTAGATACTGTATCTCACTGATGCCAAGATGCACATTTTTATACATTTTAAAACGTCTGAAATTGAAAAGCACCTTACAATTATTGGGGAGTCAGTTTGGCAGCATTGTTTTTGTCTCTGTGGCTTCAATGAATAAAATAATGGTACATTTTACAATTAGTAGTAGTAGATTCAATGAAATATATCATTTCAAGCTATTAATTGTAAGAAAAGCAAGAAACTCATTTAAAATTCAAATGTGGTTCTTCTAAATTTGTTTTCCAGTGGTCCCTCACCCAATAGGGCAGAAAATTCAAAGCAGAAATAAATTGTAAGCAAATCAGTTATTACTTTGCTCAGAATTGGGACACAAATGCTACTAAGGGAATTTGGGTAGGGGCAAGTAGATTTATCCCTTAATTTTTACGCATGATTATCTATGATCTTTAGCTACCAAGAACAGTTACACGACTTACAATATAAAACAAAGGGCATTCATTTAACATCTCTTACAAAACACTATTTTCTGATTGTTTTGAATTTTGGCAACTCAAAGTGAGGCAACTTCCAAGTGAGGAAAATTGATACTCTGAAGACTACTAAGGGTCTCATGATTCATAGGGTATTAGGATTATTTTGTTACTTAGACTTTCCACATCTGATCCACCAACACAGAAGCTATAGATGTTCTCCTGGGATGTCCTTCTCAAGATTTCTGATATCCTGTGTTCATAAGCAGTAGTTCTTAAGTAGGGTGGTACTCCGCCTCAGGGGTCATTTAGAAACGAAGGGATTAGTTTGGTTCTCATAATGACTGTGTTGAACTAAGGGCATTTGCCAAGCGGCCAGGAATGCTAAAGAACTGACCAGGTGCTAGTAACCTACTGAGAAGCACTGCCACAAAGGAAAAGCTCCTCTGAGGCTAAATAGTAAATAAATCAAACACATTTCCTTACAGTGTTGCAAGAAATAAAAAGGTTGCTAGTTTTTAGACCACAAATAACACTTTATAAAAGAAACAAAACTTCCTCTACAGTAAACTGAGTTTCCTTAATACCAAACTTAAGGCAGTGTTGTATACAGATGACAGCAGTGAGCACCACCTTTTGGAGACTGGGGTTACAATTTGCTTTGTGATCTTAGATACAATTTTTCCCTCAGAACCTTTTTTCCTCAATTTAAAGTGAAAACTCTAAACCGTTCACTCTGTCAAAATATCGAGGTCTACTGTATATTGGCCACCATGTCAGTGCCTGGCATACAATAGTGAACAGGTCTCTGCCCTCAAGGGCTTACAGTTTAGTATAAGACTAACGTAGGGAAGAAATTCTACTCCTTTCTATAAACCAACCTTGAATGGGGATACAAACACAGGAATTTTAAGATACCCTGCTCCAAAGATAAATGTACTTAAATATCCAAGGCACCAAAACAAACATGGCCAGTAGCTACAGACAAACTTCCACCACACAGCTGCCTGAAGATGTTAAAAGGCAGGCTAATCTAAAAGCCTGATCAAAGTTCTTAAGACTGCCCAGCCCTGGAGATCTAAAAAAAGCCCACATTCAAATTTTATATGGTAAGAACAGGAGCTACAGCAGTGGTTCTCAAACTTTTTTAAGCATTAGAGTCACCTGGAGAGGCTGTTAAAACACAGACTGGTGGGCAAAAGCAAAAGGGAGATAGCTCCAGAGATGCCTATTTCTGCATATGATTTTAGCTACAAGGTAATGTCTTAAATATTTTAACTGCAACATCAACCAGAAAACAGAACTTTTTTAAAAATTTTATTTATCTCTTTGACACTGTCCCTGAGTAACAGAACTTTTAAGAGAGGAAAAACATCACCAGATAAAACTTTAGAATTCTACACTGTGGGACTTAGTCCTAATTCACATACCTTTAAGACATTCAACCTCTAATAAAGGATTTAACTTTAGTTTTTTCAGTATACTTATTTTACTCACCGCAAACATTTTCATTAACAGTTCCTGTTGTTCTTTTACTGCTTGATTTTTAGTGCTCTCTTCGTATTCATAACCATTTTTAGCTAAATAATCGAGGTGGTTGTGAAACATAACTGAATGCCAAAACTGTTCCTACAAAAGTGGACAAAATTGCTTAATTGACAACTATCACCTTAATACCAGGCAAGTGTTAAATATTTATCTTAAGATATCAGTTTCTGAAATCCTTCTTTCTATAAGTTTATTTTACAACTCAAATTCCAATATGAACAGCTTAACTTTATCTTCTAACCTTAAAAAAAGAGAGGTGAGGAATATAACATTTAAAAGTT